CTGCGATAACAGCGACTTTTCCGCGGGTCTATCACGTTAAATATCGAGAACCGCGCAGGATAGTTCTTGCGATATATCGATATTTTCCCATTTGAATCTGTGGTGGAGAATCGATTATTAAGGTATTCGTTGCGAATATCCTGTTTAGCGACCCTTTTCCATAGGTTTAAATGGCAAATTAATCAATAAATCGAAAAGCACGCCACATCACTGATAGTTCAGGATGATTATGGGAATTTTCCCCATTGTTTCTGACAACGAGCTTATAAATCCACTCATCCAAGATTAGAAACTCCGGATTTTGTTTTTTACAATAGTAGCAGCAACAGAAACGTCGAAATGATTTTGAAACTATCTTTGAATCTTAACTTGACTATGGCGTCAAGTATTGAAAGAATAATTTTCACTTCATATGTATCGCAATGTTTCTCATATTACTTACCAAACGGCAGTACATGCATCCCTTTATGGGCCGTCTTTTCCTCGGCAATGCTTCGCCGCACACTGGATCGAGACAATAGGGAAGGTCGGACAAAATTTGGAAACTTTAAACACTTATTACTCCGTTTATACAACATTTTGAGGTTTTAAAGCGGTACCATTGGGTTCCTTGTGGAATTTTCTTCTAGGAGGACCCCAGAAAGTATAAACTGTGATGAAATAAACTTACAATTTTGCAGTGTTAGTCAAAAATTTAATGGCCACCTTCTCTAATTGACTCGATCCACTGTGCGGCGGTGCGAAGCTACGGCGCACAGTGGATTGGAGAGGTCGGATATGAAATTTTTTACTAAAACTGCAAATTTTAATGTTTATTTTTTCTTATTTTAAACTTTAAGGAGTGCTTCTAAAAGAAAATTTCACGAGGAAACCGATAATGGAGCCACTTTCAGAACCACATCGTTTCGTATGAACTGAGTTATGAGCGTTTAAAGTTTCTGAATGGAGATGTTGCATGTGTGAGGAATTTGTGCTTTGACTGTTGATTCTTATGCAAAAGTTTGCGAGGAACACGATGATGCCACTGGTTTCCTCTGAAATCATCTCCCAAGCTCGAAAAAAGCTCTCAAAGTGACGCCAAAATGGAGAGGATATCCCACCCTACCATGAGAGTCCACCTCTACATCAAAACAAACTCTCCATGCAAAGATAGGGAGCAAATACATTAGCAGGGCTGCCACTTTATTTGCGGACTCTAAAACTGAAAACACGGCAACCCTGCTAATGTATTTGCTCCCTATCTTTGCATGGAGAGTTTGTTTTGATGTAGAGGTGGACTCTCAGGGTAAGGTGGGATATCCCCTCCATTTCTGCCTCACTTTGAGAGCTTTTTTTGATCTTGGGAGTCGATTTCAGAGGAAACCAGTGGGACCATCGTGTTTTTCGCGAACTTATACATAAGAATCAACTCAACAGTCAAATGGCAAATTCCTCACACACGCAACATCTCCATTAAAAAATGAAGTATGAAGCACAGAAAGTCTGCAACGTCACAAATCGAGGTACGTGGTCTGACAACACTCTGAAAACACGGCAACCCTGTCAATGTATTTGCTCCCTATCTTTGCATGGAGAGTTTGTCTTGATGTAGAGGTGGACTCTCAGGATAGCTTGGGATATCCCCGCCATTTTGCGGTCTCAACTTGAGAGCTGTTTTTGAGTTTGGGAGTTGATTTCAGAGATAACCAGTGGCACCATCGTGCTTCTCGCGAACTTTTACACATCAATCAACAGTCAAATCGCAAATTCCTCACACATGCAACATCTCCATTTCGTCCGACCCCTCCATTGACTGGATCCATTGTGCGGCGCGTCGTGAAAATTCTAGGATCCAGCGTCAGGCAGGGCCGCAACCCGGCTGATGAATGAACGCAACGCGCGACTTTTATCGATGAAAAGAGAAAGTAGGAGCCAGATAGAGGCCACCGACCGTTGCCGCGCCTTCCCGGAAAAGCCCACGCTTCCCCACCGCGGCTCCATCAGGGAGTGAATTTTCCACCCATGCGTCTCAGCGCATCCCACTTCCGCCCCTTCGAAGACCCAGTGAACCACGCTGCCGTGCTGAGGTAAAACGTCGTATGAACCTTCAGACGTTGCCATATTTCCCCGAAGAAAAACAAGACGACGGTTCCAACGTTAAGACGTTGGAGAGTTAGTTAGTTATTATAATTTTGAGACATTCAGCGACTCAGGCTATTAACGTCTTTACAGGTAATTTTGAAAATAGGAGTATAAACGAAAATTTAGATTTTTAAATTAAGAGAGGTGAAGAGTTTCAGAATTTTGGTGGCAATATTAGGTTCATCGCATGTAAGAGGGTAGAGCGTTCACTGTAGCACCTCGTCAATATATGTATGTAAAAGTGGTTTTGCGCGGACGGAAGAGAGCGCTTCAAGACGCTGTTGAACTAAACGTGGAGCGTAACCTAGGAAACATACATCTATATAAGAAATGACTTGTCTTTCAGTAAAATATAGGGGTCATCAGTGAAGGGGTACGTTGAAGGGGTACTACTCAAAATGGCCGACGCAGGTATGGCTTTATTGCTTAAACTCGTGTAATTATGGCAAGCTTCGCGTTAAATAAAAATGAAAATCCTTAGGAAATTTGGAGGGGAGAAAAAATTACACCTGCCTTTAAGTGAACGAATATTCACTAAGTGCAACTGTAACTTTTGAACACAATTGGCCTACATGTTGCACCAAGGAACTGCTTTTCTAGCTCATACCTAAAAGCATATTTCTCCATAGGTAAATTAGTGACACATATCGACGGTGAAACTACCAAACCACGTATCTCGGTTTGCGACGTCGCAGACTTCCTGTCATACTTTATTTTTTAAATGAAAAACTACTTAACATCCAGTCTTGAAAATTTCCGTGATTTTTCCTCTTTGTGCGGAGAAAATTCCGTGAAAATTTCAAGGAATGATATTGATTTGGTCTACTTCAAAAAAATAAAATGTGAGCGTAGATTTTTAAACACCGCAAACGAGATACGTGGTTTGGTAGTTTCACCGTCGATATGTTGTTTCTCACATGATCCAGAACTAATGGTTTCGTATTGGTCCAACACTCCCATTGAGCCTTTTCGACTATGACTTTGAAGAACGAGATGTGACAATCATATTTTCCCGCGCAAACCGTCAAAAACAACGGCAAATCTCCTAATTCAGGGGCCTTTTGGCAACCTTTCACCACAGCTTGAGCCGGAAAAATGCCGCTCGTCGCTCATCCCCCCTCCCCCTTTCCCACCCCCAAGCGAGAAAAGCCCAAGTTGAAGGCGGATCTTAAACCGGGGCAACCGCCCCCCCCCCCCCCGCCGGTTCCTCACGCCCCCACCCCGCTGCTCGATCGGGTGTGAAAGGAAGAGGCGAAGAGACGAGTCGTTGTCTACTGGTGCAGACGAGTTTCGGTGGGAATTGGAGCGTCAACCAATGGAATGGACGGGTCTCGCAAGTGCGCGCCTGCATCAGCCAATCGTATCAATGGATTTCGAAACGGCCGGGATGTGTTCAACGGCTGAAGTCGTAATCTTCTACTCTCGTGGGATATTTTCTGTTTATAGTGAGAAAGCCCTCGGAAACATTTTTAAACTTTCCTGTCGGCAACTTCAATGAGATTTCAAAGAATTTTCTGAGGAGATTGATTAGTGCACCATTTTTCACTAGAAAAAAAAAAACACATTGGATCTAGAGTCCGGACTCTTGAAAACATCGACAAGAAAAAGGACCATTGATTCAATCAGATTTAAGCTTAAATCAAGAACCAAGCTCTTAATTTGAGCGGATTTCCTTTTGATTTAAGCTTAAATCTGATTGAATCAAGAGTCCTTTTTCTTGTCAATGTTTTCATGAGTCTGGACTCTAGATCCGATGTGTTTTTTTTTCCAGTGTTGCTCATCCTGTATTCTAAAAAATTTCGGTCGCGTCAATTGTCAGAAAAAGCGGGTTCTGTCAACCAATCAAAGGCGACCACTTCCCCTCCGCTTAAAGAAGGCGTTGTCAGGTAGCTCGCAGTTCAAACGCTGGATCTTGTATTTTTCACCGATTTGCGATTGCCTCCTGATTTCCGCACGCAGTCTTACAACCTCGCGGCGGACCTGTCCGGAAATCGAAAGTGATTCTTTAATGAGCAAGGTCGCTTTCCTTTTTTTGTAAGTTATGACGGACATTGAAATGCAATAAATTCCCCTCCGTCTCCCCTCCCGGGCGTCGGCCGCCGTCGCGCAGTGGATCGAGACAATTAGAGCGGTCGGACATGACATTATTCACTAAAATTGCAAATTTAGACGTTTATCTCGCCACATTTTAAATTTTAAGGGGTGTTCCAAGAAGAAAATTTCAAGAGGAAACCAATGGACTCACTTGTGGAACATCAAAATGTTGCGCAGGTGGAGTTTTAAGCTTTTGAAGTTTCTAAATTTTGTCCGACCTATCCTATTGACTCGATCCACTGTGCGCCGTCGTGAAATTGAAGCCTTCAATCATGGCTTGAAAGCTCCAATTATCGGGCTTTCACTCGAAGGAGTTTTATGTGTTGCCGCAGCGGAGGCTCGCATGATCGATTATCGATTTTCCCCCATTTGAAGCTACGGTAAAGAATCGATTATTAAGGTGGCAGTTGCGGACTCCCTGTTAATCTACCCCTTTCCATAGGTTTAAATAGTAGATCAATCGCTACATCGCAAAATAACTGGGAGTCTCCGATATCGGATGCCCATCAGTCCATCGAAGTGTGTTACCCCGCTCATTTTGAGATTGAAACGCGTGTCAGTCTCAGTTCTCAGTCTGACAGACTCGGGTCCTATAGGGCTCTTGATATTTGTCGACTTGAACATGTGATTTGGAATGAGAAGGAAAGTGAAAGAAAAGGAAAAGTGAGGAGGAAAAAGAAGCGGATGATGAGAAGGAAGAAGAAGAAAAGAAAGAAACTAATAATAATTATTAGAAGAAGAAGACAATAAAGAAGCAGAAGATGAGTGGCGTGGCGTGCTTCGCGATATATCGATTTATCTGTCATTTAAATCTATGGAAAAGGATCGATAAACAGGGTGTTTGCAACGAAAATCTTCGATTCTTTTCCGTAGGTTTAAATGGAAGATCCATCGATGTATCGTAAAGCTCGAGTTCGAGTTCACATTAGACCCGAGTTTCCTTGAAGTTCGAAATTTTGAGGTAGTGATTGAGGTTTCGTCTTAATATTAATTTAAATAAATAAAAAAAAAAAAAAAAAAAAAAAAAAAAAAAAAAAAAAAAAAAATGAGGTTTCGTCATGAGCTCCGATAAGATTAGGAACTTGGCGTTTAAGACGAACACAATGAGAGCAACTTCGAGAGTGACAAATGGAACAATGGCGTGACGTCCTGTGCGATATATCGATCTATCTGATATTTAAACCTACGGGGAAAGATCGATAGACAGGGTGCTCGCGGCGAACATCGCAACAATCGATTCTTCACCATGGCTTGAAATGGGGAAATATCGATAATCGAGCATTCGATGGAAAGCGAGGAGGAAAACCAGCAAGTAGAAAAATGCGGATGAAACTGTCTCCCATTTTAGCGTCCGTGTTCGACCAAGTCGCTAGGCCGCCAAGCAAAAATGTAAACCGAGATTGTGAAAATAGTTTTAATACGTTCAGAAGTATTTTTTTCCAATTTAATGTGGCATTTCTGCCCATTTCGTAGAATTCTGCCTCGATCGTTAGTTCAAAACAGTGATAACTGTTGATACGCATTGAAATTTTTATTTTTCGTTTGAAAGTGTTTTGTATGAGGTGAGTTAAGAATGAATTTCCAAATGTTTTTTGCGGAAGAAAATTATGAGGTATTGATTTAAAGAAATGTTCGTGTAATGACGTCTCCTGGTTATTACATATAAAAAGATCAAAATTTAATAATATGTATTTAAAAAAGATAATCTAATAAAAAAATTTGATTTTATTAAAGTTTATTTGATACCAAAACGCGTGTAACTCGGGAGATTTCATCTCGTAACATAATCCGTGCAAAAATTGATCAATAAGTAAAATCAATATTAATTGTATTCTGGTCACTCGATAATTTCCATTTCAAAGTGGAACAATAATAATTATTACTTTCAAGAATAGATACACGATATAAAAACGGTTTGCCGCGGATACACAAGACAGGTAGGTCAGTTGGTCGCCTACCTGACATAAGGGCGTAACTACACTTTGCAATGAACCCTGTCTTCCATACAATTTAATACTTTTTCGGGCTCATCTTAATGTGTAGTTACGCCATTTTGTCAGCGAAGCGACGAATTGGCGTTACCGACATTTTTTCCCCTACCTGCCGGCTCAGGGCCGCAACCTACCCCGGTTCAAGAGTCGTCCCTTAACTGTTAGGCGTGAGACACAATAAAGTTAGGTAATGCTAGTTGATCTGTCTAGCTTGTGTCTTCGACGCAAACTTGTTTTTCCCGTGTATGTTATGTTACCAAAACGCTTTTAGAAAATTCTAGCTCGATTTTGTTCAAAATTAATGTACATACGAGTGGCTGCATCCTGAAAACATTGTTTTTGTCACTTATGTTACCGCTTCCTAAACATTGTGAGATGTATGAAAACGCCAGATACTATGCCGAACATTGACGGACTTATCGACTTACTTTTCAGTTACGTACGCACTGCCACCTGATGAAACTATGACACTATTCCGACCAACGACTCTAGCAATCGTCATCATCTCTGTGATATTATCAACACAAATCGGTGCCCAAGAAAAAAACGAAGCCGAACCAAAACCGAAGGAAGTACCAGTCCCAGTCCCAACGAAACAGAACATAACCTACACCACAACACCGGACACGCTTATGTCCTTCACCGTGACGCCTAAAATTTGCTTGTCCTACACTGCAACACCCTCTTTGCCATCGGTCACGAAAGGGGATGTGTCTATTATTCCCTCTACTAAGACTACAGTTCCCGCGGTGGTGACAGCTGCGACTACAACGATGTACGTGACGGCAAATGCAACCGAATCATCTGATAATGCCACGATGGATGCCTTGTTAAAATGTGATGTGGACACGTTTGATAGTGAGAGACATTGTAACAGATTTGACCACGCAGTGCGTGTTTTTGGAGTGTCTCAAAAATGAATACAAGCTACTGTCGCGAGAAAACAATATTATTACAAGACTCGACACTAACAATCTTAATAATGACACAGGAAGATCTAGCAATTTGGCAACACCGGATTTCCTCCATTCAAACCTATGTTAAATAATCGATTATTGTCGGAGCACTTGGCACCAAAAATCGATACATTTCTATAGGTCTAAATGGAGAAAAATAATGTTGCCAATTTGCTAGATCCGCCAATGAGTATAGTGAATTCGGGTATACGACAAAATTTAAGTTCAAGATCAACGCTTTTTTTGCCTAATGATGGTTGAACGGCAACTTGTTAAGCACAAAATAAAATAAAATGTGTCTGATTATGACTGACGAATAATGGAGTGATAACTTAGCTGAGTAAGTGTTGTTCTTTCTCCTTTTAAATCCATCCCATTTTAAATCAATATTATTTGAATCCAAACCCAACTTGCGAAATCGCCATCGAACTTCAGAGCAAACAATCTTTCAAATATGATGTAGGATGCGATTGTGAAATTACCGGATAGATTTAACTATCGAAATGATTTAGCTTTCTTAATTGAATGTGAAATGCTGTTTTAAATGTGCGCGCAATTGGTTTCCTTGTAAAATTTCCTCCAAGGAAGACTCCCTATAGAATTCATAGCGTGAAGGTATGCACATCCCAATTTGCCGTCTCTCCAAGAAAGAAACGAAACTTTATTGCAAAATTACATAATCTACACAAAAAATCAAATTTTGTACATAAAAATAAGCGTGCAGTTAATGTCGTAAATGCTTATTTTTGCGTTAAAGAAGAAGCGCATGGGAAACACCCAAAGATTAAGCGATGACCCACGCACAGTGTTCACTCTCGTATTTTGTATCGCTGGTGCAGCATTAAAACGAAATTACCGTGAGCGGCTCGGAATTTGAAACTCCTTCAATCAGGCGCATAGGCAGCCCCGCCTCCGCAGAGTTAAAATAGTTACATATCCTGCCCCTTCACCTTCGTACACTTAGCAAGCTGTTATCTCCGCTGGAGGCGTCGTCGCGTCGCCTACCTATTGTTCTGTTATCGCGCACTGAGTAAAAGCCAATTGTTCGCGAGAATTATGTAAACCAGGTGCAAGGTCATGAGAATATCAATGCGTTAAATCCCATGCTCTATATTATGAGTGCGTTGCGAACGGCTAATACAACATTTTCGTAAAGAGCAATGTCGGGTAAAATTGTCCGCAAATCCTCTGAGGCAGGATTTCAGACATTTTCACTAGAAATATACTATTTTCAACCAAAAAGTTACAGTGATATATTACTGTTTCACTGTACAGATTAAAAAAAACCTTTGAGAAGTCCGTAAAAACGAAATCCACGGGGAAAAAGTAATTGTACAGGTATTAGACTGAAGGAAGGAGAGAATGAATTTCTTGCTGAGACCTATCTTTGTCAATCCAATAACAGTGATATTTTTATTGGAGCAATCGTAATTTTACAAGTGTGCGGTAGTGAAATTACCATTTAATGGTAAAAATATCTCTATTACTGGTTATGGTAACTACTAATTAAATGTTCATATTGAACACCACTCATATGGTAATTATAATCATTATTTTTACTCAGTGTACGACAACACCGAGACCCTATCTTAACCATTCAATACATCGCATTTCGATGTTTTTTATTGGAGCAATCGTAATTTTACAAGTGTGCGGCAGTAAAATTACCATTTAATGGTAAAAATATCTCTATTACTGGTTATGGTAACTACTAATTAAATGTTCATATTGAACACCACTCATATGGTAATTATAACCATTATTTTTACTCGGTGTACGACAACACCGAGACCCTATCTTAACCATTCAATACATCGCATTTCGATGTCTAAGCGTGCTATTTTAAACATTCAAAACTCGACCTGCAGGCCCAGTCTTGCAGAGGAAGCTTGGAGCTCGTCTAAAACGGCGGGTTTGAACTTTATACAATTTTGCCACCTAATCTCGGTCAGGCCAGGCCGACCTCAAACGGTGGACGGTGGACGGTGGACGGTGGAACTTCTCTTTTTGCTCCAGCCGAAGTTTGCAACAGACCCATTCGGAGTTTCGGTCGAGAAACTCATAGCCTTTTCCAACGGCTTTCCTCACTGTGCGTCGTCGCCTGTTCTAAGCCGCGACCGGATAATCCTGGATAATCCAATCAAAACACTCAAATCATAATCGAATTAAAGCGAAACTCAATTTAAAAATTAACGTCGCCGCCGTATTGTCTCGGGTTTTCGCGGCGGCATCCGAATTCCGCGACGCGGGCGAGGCCGGGGCGGGAGCGCCAAGATCCTCGAGCGGCTCAAGACGACCGAATTAAGGGCGGGGGGCGAAAGTTGTGGGAGCCGGGACCGNGGGGGGGGGGGGGGCGGTTTGTTTGAAAAACTGCTCCGTGTTTCAGGGTGGAGTCGTGCTACGACAAGAGTAACGGCCACCGGGCCGTGTTGCCGGGTTCCCCCGAAAATCGAGAGGTCCACAAAAAATACGCACTCCCGTGGGTATAGCATTTCTCGCTTCTTTTTGCGTACTTAATTTTGGAGGGGGCATCGATGGCTCTTTTCTTTTTCTTTTCATCCTCATCTATTTTTCCTTCTCATCGTTTTATTTGTCTTCCTTTTCAGTATCTTTTTCTTTCTTTCTCTTTTCTATTTTCTCATTCTTGTGATTCTTTTTCTGTTTCTTTTCGCTCTCTTTTCGACCTCTTCTTGTTTTATTTTCTTCTTCGTATTTTTTATTCTTCTCTCCTTCTTGTGTTCCTTCCTCTTTTTTTATTCATCTATTTTTCCTTCTCATTGTTTTTATTTTCTCATTCTTGTGATTCGTTTTCTGTTTCTTTTCTCTCTCTTTTCGTTCTCCTTTTGTTTCATTAAATTCTTCGTATTCCTTTATTTTTCTCTCCTTCTTGTGTTCCTTCCTCTTTTTTCTTCTTCCTCTTCAGTATCTTTTTCTTTCCTCTTTTTTAGTTTCTCATTCTTTTAATCCAAATAACCGTTGAAACCTCTGCAAATATCGTTTGGAAGCAGCATTTCATTCATTTTTATGACTTTTTTTCTCGTATGAGAGAAAAAATAATATAAATCTGGTTTTGAATGCAAAAAATGAAATTGTCGGCGCGGTCAAGCGCTTTTTATTACGGGTTGCATATCCAACTCAAAAAATGAATGTTTCATGTTCTTTATACGTATCACGAGATGTGGCCGCCTACGGAATAAAGGACCTTAATTTCCGAAGGCCATATTGTTAGTGGAGCGATTTTTGTTGGATAGGATCGAGAAATCAGATTTTGAGTTTTTCACGGAAAAAGCCATCCAGTACCCAGTAAATTTGGTTGCAACGAAACAGATCATTTTCTACCAGCAAAGGGAGTAAATGCAAAATAGTCTGGGATTTTCCTACCCCGGAGACAGCATATTGGAATTTCAAATTGCTTCTCCTCTGAAATACAACTGCAAACCTCAAATCACTGCAGCTCCGGCCTGGTTTGACATCTTTAGTGTTTTTTCTTAAAATATTTTTAGAATATTCATCCCTGTTCCTGTACGTATTTTGCCATATTTTGGTTTGGTTTGACTAATTTAGCGCCAAAGTTTGTAGTTTCCAAAACGGAGGAACGAAAATTTCCACGGAGAGAGTGTATATTTACTAGGAAATTGTAGGACACTACTAATTAAAATTTTTATTGGGTTTTCTTCTTTCCACGACATTAATAAGTAAGCAAGACCTTACGAAACAATCAGAAGATTCTTGTGAATAATTAAATCGTTTAGTCAATTTTGCACCCTTGGAATGGGGTAGCGCTCTATTGTGGGAATTTGACGAATGCCATGTAATTCATCAGTAAATTTTAAGATCTCGTGGGACGAGGTCTCTATTCCCACTAACAGTCGCAAATGAACTAAATTTTGCAATCGAGGATTACAATCTCTAGCCCAGTCGTATAAAAACATTCATGCGCACGGGTAAAGTAATGATACATTCGCTGTGCATAAACTGAGCCCGAATAATAGTTCCTTATAGACGCTTTTAGTGGTGACGTCAAGGAACGATCTTTTGAGGACGCGTCAAGGAACGATCCTAAAACTCACCTTTGAGTTTTAGGAGCCATGTGGCGCATCAAGCCTGATTTTTAGGCGCCATTGAAGATTTTTTAGGGGCCAAATTGACTTTTTGCCTATATATTACGGCATATTTAGTGAAAAATTAGACGCAAGATGTTTTCGTAACAGAACTAGTAAGTAGCTGTAACTTGGGGAAGACAAAAGCACTAAGGATGAAATCGTGAAGAATAGAAAAAGCTTTCACTTGTAATGCTGCAAATTTCGAATAAATACCTCATTTGAAAATTCAGATTTTTAAGGGGCAATTTTTAGGGGCCACGTCGGCGCAGAGCCTTCATCTTTTAGGCGCCATGGCCGATTTTTTAGGCGCATCTGGAGCGATGGCGCCTGTGAGTTTCGAACACTGCTAACGATATCGAGATATGACGTCACGCTCAATGCGTCTATCGCAAAATGCGGTTCAAATGCTACACTGAATCACTCGTACATTCCTCACGTTATTCGGGAGCCTGGGTGGACCTAGAGTCCCTTTATACTGAGAGTCAAGACAACACCCCTCATGGAGTCACAAACGGGAAAAATGATTACACAAATTGAACGTTTTTCGTAATCTTTGATCGGCTCATTCTTAAATTCCTTTCTCCGTTCCTTCTCTCATTCCGTTTGTTCCTTGTCGAACCCGAAATTCCTCGGTCCATTCCAGATTATAATCTTTGCAATTGGTGAAAATGTAATCTTTATTCCCGTTTGTGACACAGTGAAGGCCTAAAATCCGGTTAACCAATCAGAAATGGATTCGCATTGTCTTGACTCTCAGTATAAAGGGACTCTAGGTGGACCCCGAAGTTTAGGCGAACGTGAATGAATGCGCGAAAAACGAGCGTGGCGGCACGGAGGCGGTCCTGCAAGCGGGCGTTGGCAACGGAGGCCAGCAGCCAGCATCCCCCCAGAGCGAGCGCCGCGTTGCCAACTCCTCCACAAAACCCGGCGATTTAAAACGGGTTCCAGGGCGGAAATCACGATGAACGCCCGAGAGCCGGCAACGCGCTGGAGCTCCGAGCCGAGAGGCGGTGTCGATCGATCCCAAAAAGAGCGCAAAATCTCCGACACCTTCGCGCCCCCCGCAGCGCTGCCTAATCGCACCCTGAAATTAATTTATTCGCGGCTAAGTACCGGCAGACGTCGATGTCAAATAGTGACGTCACGCCACGGATTCTCTCCTGTCGGATTGGCTACGAACCAGTGTTCGAAACTCACAGGCGCCAACGTGCAAAATG